TCTCCCAACAATATTTTTTGCATTGCAATAGCGGCGAGATCAGAATGCAAGATGTCGTCTATACTCGATATCCGAAAGTTGGGGTAGGTGTGTTGGGGTAGGTGTGTCACCGGAAGTGACGTGCACTTGATAGAATTATGTGGATAAGCTGCTTCCAACATACATCGCTGGATATCAGCAAAGCATGCTGGCAACAGCTTATCCACGCAACTTCTATCAAGTGCACGTCACTTCCGGTGACACGCCTACCCCAACTTTCGGATATCGACTGTATCTCATTCCTACTGGAGCTACTTTAAAAATGCTACCTAAGAAAACGCTAAAATTGACAATTTTTTAATCTAGTGCATTCTCTCTAATGAATGTTGTTCCTTCCACGTTTCCTTTATGTCGGCAAGCTGATCGGCCGAAGTGCAGTATTCAGCCACAATACTAAATTGTTCAAGAGATAGGGACATTAAAGAAGGTTCCACTGATGAATATGTTCTCGACTTCTGGTATGATGGGTGCCGCTCGACCGTTTTTTAGCCCTCTTCGAAATCATGAAGAATGAAGCCGATCTTGCAGACATTCATACCAATCGCGAGAGGAACCTGACAGCAGATCTAATCGGCTTTTGTCAGCAAAAAGAGTTACACCAATTTGATGTGTCAGGGCTCATTAGGAATGTAATCCAAGCGCGTGATCCTAGTTGTGCAATGCACAACTTTTGACCCACTTAAAAAGCCGCGAGACAGGCCGACTTAAGCCGTTTGGACAGAGCGAACACCCGAAGTAAGCGTGAATTTGCTCACCTCCTACTTCTCGTTTTCTCTGCGCTCTCTCAACGAAGAGAAATGCGTCGAGCAAACTCGCCAACTATACTGAGCGCCGTTCATGTAGGAGGTGGAGGATGGCACGCATGTCAGATGGCCTCGCGTAGGATGGGCGGCACCCGGGGATTACCTCCCTTGGATTGCGCGTGCAGCGTTCAACGCTCCTCCATTTCTGGACTGCTACTCTGGAGGGCAGGGGTAGCCTTATTGTTGGCAAATTTCGCAGGATTATTTTCTAGAAAGCGCGTCGATGCGACGGGCGGACTACGGCAGGAACATTGTAATTTACGCTTACTTCGGGTGCTGACTCTGTCCAAACGGCTTATCTCTGACAAGCCCGACACTCACTACCGTACTGGTTGGATACTACTTCTCACAAATCGTCAATCTGAGGCCCCTTCTTGGTCAATAAAAGAGAACGTCAGCTATCGCGTGCCGTCCGGACCAGGTTGCAAACATGCGTGAGTTGATTACAAGGCGACGGCTGACGACGAAAACGATTCTTATTCTGAGACCCCGGAGTACTATTGTATGTGTAGATTCTTATTCTGAGACCCCGGAGTACTATTGTATGTGTAAACTCAACGCCCAATACACAGCACCTTGCCACCTGGCTCGGTGGTCACGTATCCGGTCGTTATTACTTCCAGCTAATTGAGAACATTTCTAGGCGATCGAAGCTGGCAAACACTGGTCGCATGCATCCGTTCTCATGAGTTCTGTTGACATCCCGTCAAGAATTTGGCGTTCATGGAGCCTTCTGGTTCTCCCTAGCGTTGATCTCACGCCGAGTATGGTGCACTTTTCATCGTCGTGACTATTTCTAATTAAGCGTGTCTTGGGCTTGAGCGTATCATCGTAGCCGCTGCTCAAAGACCCCGGCTGCACAGAGGCACAT